TATATAGATATATATATAAATATATCTATCCATTGCATTTATTTTTAAGGTTATTTTTAAGTGGCGGCGTGCTTTACACCACTACATCTGACTATTTGCATTGCAGTTGGTGATGTAAGGCTTGAATTCAGCTGCTCGGCCATGGAAACCCATTCCATGAAGCTCTCTACGCACTGTTGTTGTGCCAATCTGAAGGCCACATGAAGTTTGGAGGTCTGTAGCTATTGACTCTGCAGACAGTTGGCGACTTCTGCGCACTGTGCACTTCAGCATGCGCTGACCCCGCTCTACCATTTTACGTGGCCTACCACTTGGTGGCTGAGTTGCTGTTGTTCCCAGTTGCTTCCACTTTGTTATAATGCCACTGACAGTTGACTGTGGAATATTTAGTAGCAAGGAATTTCACGGAAAACCTGAATCCAATGATTTGGAGTGGTGTCCCAATACTTTTGTTAATATAGTGCATATTTGTATGTTTATGTCATTCGTCTCCATGATACTCCTCTGTGAACTCCCATATGCTTTATTTATAGCAGAAGGGTACATTCTGGAGGAAGTGATTATAATTCCTTTTCTCTAATTGTTCACATTACTTCAAGAGTATGGACAGAACCACTTGTCTTTTTGCTGTTGTAACTGTAATGTCTACAGCTAGACAACACATTGTTGCCATGGTATAATAGCAGCATATTACATAAAACTTTTCATAAACCAACAGGTTTGTGTCTGAGCCTGTTGTAATTTAAAAAATTGGAATCCTTTTGCTTGCCTGATGAAAGATTTGAGGTTCTCAATGCTGTGTGACTCATTTAACTTTTCCTAAGCGGCACAATGGAAAACACTACCAAATAGTGCTCTGTTCTGAATTCAGGATAATCATAACAAAGTTTAATTTACAGCACAATAATTAAAAAAGAAGTTGGAAAATGGATGCTTATTGACTCATCACGTAAGATACACATTTTCTGATCAGCAATGTAAAATGTAACATGTAAAACCATAAAAGGGAAAACATTTAGTCTCCTAGACATAAAACTATGTTTTCTACTTGACCATAAAGTATAATTTTAAGGGAAAAGGAATTTCAAGGCAAATATGCTGTTCACTTTGCAAGAGAATGTTCAGGGCTGTTCCTTTAATGAGGCAGCCAGAGTGCCTGCTGCCTCCTTTAGCGTGCCAGGTTGCGAAGAGCCGGCGGGGTGATGTGTAAGGGCCATGCACATCTCCCTGCTCGACTCATATCACGGAAAGGGAAAAGTCACTCGAAAGGGAAAAGTCAACGGAAGGGAAAAGTCAACGGAAAGGGAAAAGTCACTCGACCACCAACACCCTCCCCCCCCCCCCCCCGCCCCCAAGGACGCACACAAGCAC